AGATTGATTTTTGATTCTCCTATGAGAATTATGTCGTCGGCATACATCAAAAGGTGGACCGTTCCAAAATTAGGGAGGTATATGCCTGGTAGAGTCATTAAAAATGTTGATTAAATCAGTTACAAAGAGTATAAATAGATAGGGTGATAAGGGTTCTCCTTGTAACACTCCCGATCGGATTTTGATGGGTTCAGTAAATAGTCCATTCCATCTCACCGTCGTTGTCATTTGTTCGAAGTAGTTCCTAATAAGGTTAACAAAGCGGAAATCCAGACCTAATTCACCCAATTTTGACCACAGAAGTGAGTGGGGAACAGTGTCAAAAGCCTTTTTTAGGTCCACAAAAAAAGCATAAAGTTTTCTTCTTTTACGTCTGAGAGTCAGCTGTATCAAGGACAACAGTGTGAATATGTGATCTTGACAGGAGTAGCCTTTTCTGAATCCGGCCTGGTTTTCTGGAATAATTGATCTACCTTCAATCCAGTTGCGTAATCGCGATTTTAGTATTGATGTGAAAAGTTTTGACAGATTACTAATAAGGGCAATTCCGCGGTAGTTTGATGGATTATCCCGGTCACCGCTTTTAAAAATAGGATGGATGATAGATTTAGACCATATTAAGGGATATGAACCAGAATTAATGATTCTGTTGAATATATTTTTTAGAGTAACAAGGTGTTCGAAAGGTAGGGTCTTTAATGCTTCATTCGGAATTTCGTCAGCGCCACAAGCTTTTTCATTTGCCAGACTGGAGATTTCTCTAGTTATTTCTGTTATGGAGATTTCACAGTAGAGTTCAGGATCAATTCGTGAGAGAGTAGATAGGTCGCTTCCTATCGTCGTTTCAGCAGAGAGCAGTTTGTTGTAAAAGCATTGCCACTCTAAAATTGTTATATTTCCTTGTATATAGCTTTTGTCTTTCAAGGTAGCTATAGTTTTCCAAAAGTTTGCGGAGTCACGGGCATTTTTAAGAAGTTCTTGTTTTTCCTGAAGATATTTTTTCTTAAATACTATAAAGTTAAGTGCCAGGAGAAAATATTTTTTCTTGTTGAAGTTTATTAAGGTCGTGTATCTTTTCCTATTTGAGACATAAATATTGCGGTCTACGTCAGTGTTCGTTTCCTTAAAGGTTGTGAGGCTTGCCTTAGCAGATTTTTTGGCTAAATAGCATTCCCTGCTATACCAGGGTTTCGATTTTGGGCGGCCAGGTCTGACCTTAATGCGCATATCTGCAGCAAGCATTGCGTTTAGTATTTGTTTAGAAAATGTATTAACTAGGCTGTCAAGATTCTGGTCGGTAGAGACTTGATTGTTGTCAAGATTCTGCGAAAAGAGGGATGTGTTATCAGGTGCCCATTTGTATCTTTCAAAGCAGGGATAGACGGTTTCTTTCGTTCGTTTGAGATTAGATAAGTTAGACATGTTTATTGTTAGTGGAAGGTGGTCCGAGTATGGGTTATTATCTACTTTAAGGTCAACAACGTGCTCCAGCAGGGAATATGAGACAATAAAATAATCGACAACAGATGAGCCACGACTTGAGATAAATGTGCAGTTTCCAGTTTTGTCACTTATAGTTCTGCCATTAATTATTGTCAGTAGATTATTATCTAGGAAGTTTATGAGTTGTTCCCAATGTTTGGAAAGCACTGGGTCTCTATATTTGCGTTCAGGTGAAAGAAGTAAGGGACGTTCTAGTGGGTTGTGTAAGTATCCATAGGTGCCGGTACGGATGTTTATGTCACCCGCTAGAACTATTTCATAGCCGTTAGCCAACCTATCTTCGACATGTTTGGATAAAGTAATGAAGTTTGACAGTTGAGATTCGTTTGGAGAAAGATATGTAAATATATAACAAATTTGTATGTTGAAACAACGCTTCTCCAACATAGTTTTTAGTTTATTTTTAATTCCTACTATTATTCCACCCGAGCATCTTCCCAGTTTGGAGCTTCTAGTTGCCAGTGATTCGAATAAGTGGAATTCCCTAGGGCCGTTTTTTAAGTGATGGTCACACCAGGTTTCGGTCAAAGCAAATATTTCGTATATCTCTAAGTGACTATAAAGAAGAGGAAAAACTGAATTGAGTCTATACAGCCCGTTAACGTTCCAGCAGGTCAGTGAAAAGGTATCGTTGGGTTGACTATTTACAAGTGATTGTTTCCTAACAGCTTGCTACAATGAATGTCCATTGGCATCTACAATTTGTCCATCACAGACCTTATATGCTATGTCATTAATTATTAATTTGTTGTCCCTTAGCTTAGCTAGAGTGCCTCTTTCGACGAGTTCTCTTCTTTTGACATTCAAAACGCGCCGTTGTTCTCTCGTCTTCATGCTATAGTCTTTCGATAGTGATATCTTAGTTCCTCTTAAATTGAAAGCAGCTTTAAATAGAGTTGATCTATCGTTTTGTTCTGGGACTTCAATCAGGATCGGTGCACCGGGTTTTCTGGATAATCGGTGGCATCGCGTGATGTTTATCTTCTCCGTTGTAAGCCATGATAATCATGGTGGGTAGTTAACGACTGCTTTTACCGTAAGCGCACCACATGTCTACACATGTGAAAAGCAGTTCGATTTTGCACTTACAAATATGCCAGAGCCCCGTTTGGTTACTTGCACTCGCTGGTGGGATTGGACTTTTGCAAGAATCAGGGGCCATTGGAGCATTATTATTATTATTTTTTTTTAATCAGGAAAAAAGTGTCCAATGGAACCCGGATCGTAGTG